TTTTGAGACAGAGTCTCACCCTGTCACCCAGTCTGGAGTGCAATGAGACAATCTCGGCTCACTGCAACCTCCACCTCCAGGATTCAAGTGATTCTCCCGCCTCAGCCTCCCAAGTAGCTGGGACTACAGGTGTGCGCTACCATGCCTGGCTAATTTTTAAAATATTTTTAGTAGAGACGGGGTTTCACCGTGTTAGCCAGGATGGTCTCGATCTCCTGACCTCATGATCCGTTCACCTCAACCTCCCAAAGTGCTGAGATTCAAGGCATGTGCCACTGCGCCCCGCAGAGCCGGGATTTGAACCCGGGTCGTCTGTGTGTGGAGCTTTGCTATTCGCCACCTTGGCAGGTGTCTTCATGGGTTACTTACCCCTGTCTGGCCCACTGGTGCTCGGCTCCTGGCTGGCCCACAAACATGTTCTCATAGTCGGGAGTGGAGGGGCGGGGTGGGGTGACCACCTGGGACTTGCGGGAGTTCCGGCTGCTGTACCGTGGCTGCAAGCCTGAACCGGGCTTGGGCCCATCCTGAGCAGCCCAGGGCTTGCCCGCGTCCGGGCTTCTGGCCACGCGGCGCCGCCAGAGTCTCCAGGCCAGCAAGGGGCCGGCGATGGCAATTCCGAGCAGCAGGCACCCGCTGGCCGCCGCCGCCGCGATGGTCGCAGGGGCCAGGCCGGGGGCGCAGCTGACCTCCAGGAAGGCAGAGAGGTTGCGCTGGGAGCCGGCGGCGGTGTCCCAGCAGAGCAGGGGCGTCTGGCCAGAGCAGTTGTCTCTCCGGACCTGGTGCCAGGAGGCCAGGGCGCAGCGGCAGTCGGCCCGCAGGTCCAGGTCACAGCGCGCGGCCAGCGCCCCGTCCACCCGGGACAGGGGGTTTTGCAGCACGTTCAGGAGCTGAAGCCTCTGCAGGCCGGAGAAGAAGGTCGCCGGGAGCTCGCTCAGCCTGTTCGCAGACAGGTCCAGGAGACGCACCTCGGGCGCCCGCAGGGACTGGTTCTGGGGCAGGCTCAGGTTGAGGCCGCTGAAGTTCAGGCACGTGTCCCTGAACTCCGCGCTCCAGTCCACATCCGCGGGGGAGACGGCGCACGACAGGTCCCAGCCGTCCGACTCCGGCAGCAGCAGCGGCAGCAGCAGCGTCCAGGCCAGGGCGCCCCCCATCCAAGCCACCTACACGGAGACACCGGAATCCAAGCCCCGGCCTCGGCCCCGCGGCCGCCCTCGCCTTCACCGCTGGAGTTTACTGTTACAGCTCAGACCCGCGCAAGCCGCTTCTGAAACTGTGAAACGCAGCCCGGGTCTGGTCGCCTCCTCGGGCTGGTCGGCTGCCTCAGTTTCCCCTTCTGGGGCATGGGTAGGTAACCCTGGTGCCCAGCAGGCTTGGAGGGCGAGGAGGAGATCTGGTCCCATTTAACCCCTTCTGCTACGTCCTGGACATTTTGGGCGCCCTCTTTGGCTAGGACGGGACCCTCTGCAAATAAGCGCTTGCCTTGGAAACGGCCCCGCCCTCGGTCCCGCTCTCACCGTCTCTCCCAGAACGCGGGTCACTTGGAAGCCCTGGGATAGGGGGAGTGGGGGCTGCTGAAAGGCTCCCCCCAGCTCTGGTTGGCGTCCCCGCACAGGTGCAAGTTCTAGAGCCTCGGGCCTACCTTTTGGGTCCCACTGCCACGCTTTTGCCTCGGCGATGCTGCAAAAGCCACAGCAGCAGGGGCTGCGTCCTGGCGGACCTGGATACCGGGTGCAGCGGCTAGCACCCTCCGCGGCGCTTCTGGGGTCCCTGGCGTTCCTCTGGCTCTGCACCAGCGACTCAGCAGCGGGAAGAGGAACTGGTGTCTGGGTGGAGAGGAGAGGGGAAGAATGAAGACAGAGACCCGCCCCTTGCAGGGCCTTAAGGTTCTCACGGGAGGAGGAGGGCGAGGGGGAGGGGCGGCTCAGGGTCCCACTTCCCTCTTGAGAGAGCCCAGTGACTTCATGTCCCCTATTACTACCCCAGCTGACTCCCACCTCAACTCGCTTCCAGATCCCAGCTCAGTTGACTCCCAGCTCATGCAGTTATTTATTCATTCAACAAACATCACCCATGCTGGGTCCCCAAGAAGCCTTAGCCCTGGCCAGGTCCTCAAAGAGATGTCTTAAGAGAGGGCAGAGCTGGACACAGACACTCCTAGTGCCATGCAGTCAAGGAAGGTCTGGAGGGAAGGACAGCGTCCTGGAAGCTTCCTGGAGGAGGAGACATTACAGTTAGGGCTTCAACACATAAGTAGGAGTTCTCCAAGTTTCCCCAAACCTGTCATTGGCTCTCCAAGCTCCTCCAAGCCTCTCCCACTGAGTTCTTGCACAATGGCACCTCTATGGTGGAGGGGACAGTGAGGGGAATCCCAGGAGCTTGGGAAAATGTAGCTGCCTGGAATAGCACGGTTAGGGGTGCAGAGGTTAGAAGGATTGGTGGCGGGGGAAGGGGTCCCGTGGAGCCAAAGCTGGCGTGTGGGCAGAGGGGCACTGGCCGAAGAACCCCCTCTGGGGTGAACCTGGTGTCTGGGTGGGCAACATGGGGAGGAGGCTGAGGTCCCAGAAGCAGATGGGGGCCTGAGGCAGACTGAAGGGGTATTAGTGACAAAAGTCAGGGCGAGGAAGGGGCTGGGAGAAGGTCTCACCTGAACCTGGTGTCAGGCAGACCAGGTTCCAGCCTCCGCCAGCCCCTGACTCACGGTGCCCCCTTAATTGCGCTGTGCCTCCGTGTCCACAGCTGTCAGATGCGCAGCAGCTTCTCCAGGACCTGGGGGGCTGGGGCTCTCCTCCCCCACACTTTCCCTCTCCTCAGCCTCTGTCCTTTCCATCTCCCAACTCCAAGAAATGGTCAAAGGCTTTGAACTGAGACCTTGAAGAAAAAGCCAGAAACCGCTCTTCCACATGTCCAAAGACACTCATTCCTGCGAAGTGCAGTGGCTCACACGTGACATCCCAGCACCTCGGGAGGCCGAAGGGAGCAGATCGCTTGAGCCCAGGAGTTCGAGACCAGCCTGGCCATCATGGTGAAACCTCGTCTCTACTTTAAAAAATACAAAAATTAGCTGGGCATGATGGCACACCCCTGTAGTCCCAGCTACTTGGGAGGCTGAGGCAGGAGAATCGTCTGAACCTGGGAGGCGGAGGCTGCAGTAAACGGAGATCACTCCACTGCATTCCAGCCTGGGCAACAGAACAAGACCTGTCTCAAAAAAAAAAAAAAAACAAAAGAAAAAGCTCATTCCTAATAAGCAAACTGCAAATCACAAACTGTCTTCACTGATCAGATTGAAGAAAACTGCAAATTACAAACTGTCTTCACCGATCAGATTGGCAAAAATCCAACAGTGCAAAGATCTTCCATGCCAGTCGGGCTGTGGGGTGTGTCCCTGGTGCAGCCTTGCTGGAGGGCACATTGGCACAGGCCACCGGAACGACAAACTCATGCGCCTGCTGACACAGCAGGCCCGCTTCTGGGAATTCCTCCCTGCACATTTGCATGTTTACAGTGTGAACTGAGGAATGAATAAGAAAACGTGGCTCATTCGTACAGGGGCTATGATTCAGCCACGAAGCAGCAGCCCTGAGCCACGTTACAACTGGAACCAAACTAGAAGTCACGTCCAGTGAAAGAAGCCAGTTCTGAGGGGCCACGTGTTGTATGGTTTCATTTACATGAAATATCCCAAATTGGCTGGGCGCGGTGGCTCACGCCTGTAATCCGAGCACTTTGGGAGGCTGAGGCAGGTGGCCCACCTGAGGTCAGGAGTTTGAGACCAGCCTGGCCAACATGGCAAAACCCCGCCTCTACTAAAAATAAAAAAAATCAGCCGGGCATGGTGGCGGGCACTTGTAATCCCAGCTACTCAGGAGGCTGAGGCAGGAGAATCGCTTGAACCTGGGAAGTGAAGGTTGCAGTGAGCCAAGATCGCGCCACTGCACTCCGGCCTGGGCGTCAGAGCAAGATTCCGTCTAAAAATAAAATAAAAATAAAAAATTAGCTAGGCATGGTGGCTTCAGTCTATACTCCCAGCTTCAGAGGCTGAGGTGGGAGGGTCACTTGAGCCCAGGTGGTTGTGACTGCGGTGAGCCGTGATTGTGCCACTCCACTCCAGCCTGGGCAGCAGAGCGGGACAGGGTTTCCCCATGTTGGCCAGGCTGGTCTTGATCTCCTGACCTCATGATCCACCCGCCTTGGCCTGCCAAAGTGCTGGGATTACAGGCGTGAGCCACCACGCCTGGCCAGAAGCAGCTTTTTAATGGGATGATCAAGGAAACCCTTAGGGAGTAAGGAGGAGGGGATGTAGGGAACAGCATCCAGGAGTGGGAACAGCTTGTACAAAGGCCCCATGGTGGGAGGGTGGCTGCAGCCCTGGGTAGAAAGGAGATGTCTCCAGGTGTTTGTGTAGGCTGCCATAACAAATCCACCATAAACTAGGGTGGCTTATGAACAACGGAAATTTATTCCTCACAGTTCTGGAAGCTGGGAAGTTCAAGATCAAGGCACCAGCAGAATTGCTTCCTGGTTTGCAGATGACCTCTTCTCACTGTGTCCTCGGTAGGCAGAGGGAGCAGGGGAGCTCTTGGGGCCTCTAAGGACTAGAGGGATGGAGGAGCCCAGCCAGCAGTGAGCCTCGTGCAGCTGCACGCCCTCCACACCCCGGGAGGTTACTAGGGGAGCCCACTTCCGACGCCACTTAGAAAAGAAGGAAATGAAGAAATGAGGAAGTGCCGGAACCGAGGCTGCAGGTGGTGGGGGCAGGCAGGCCTGGGGTCCGGGACGGCGAGTTTTGGAGGTTGGCCTGGGGAGGCTGGGGTCTTGGAGTCTGACAGTCTGGGTTCTGGAGGGGGTCCTGAGATCTGGGGGCTCTGAGGTCTGGGGATTCTGGGGTCTGGGAACCCTAGAATCTAAGGGTCCTGGGGTCTGGTGGTTCTAAAATCTGGGGATCCAGAGGTCTGGGAGTCTTGGGATCTGGGAGTCCTGGAGTCTGGGGGCCCTGGAGTTTGAAGTCATGGGGTCTGAGGGTCTTAGGATATGAAGGTTCTGGGGTCTGGGGGTCCTGGGGATGCTGGGGTCTTGGGATCCAGAGGTCTGGGAGTCTTGGGGTCTGGACCTTCCTGACACAGCCCCAGCTGGCTACACCCAGGTTTCTGAGAATGAGGGCAGCTCAAGTCTCCACTGGCCCCTCCCTGGCCGAAGGGAGGCTGGAACTTTCAGAGGCCACCTCAGCCTCCCGAGTAGCTGGGATTGCAGGCACGCATCACTATCACCCGGCTAATTTTTGTATTTTTAGTAGAGACAGACAGGTTTCACCATGTTAGCCAGGTTGGTCTTGAACTCCTGACTTCAGGTGATCTGCCCTCAGCCTCCCAAAGTGCTGGGATTACAGGCATGAGCCACAGTGCCTGGCCTAAAGCATGATTTTTTAATAACATGGGAAAACTTCATTTATGGTCACATGGCCTTGTGGGTTATAGTAATTTTTTTTTTTTTTTACACAGCCTGGCTCAGTCTCCCAGCCTGGGGTGCAATCACAGCTCACTGCAGCCTCCCGTCCTCGGCTCAAGTGATCCTCCTATCTCAGCCTCCCGAGTAGCCGGGGACTACAGGTGCACGCCACCACACCTGGCTAATTTTTCTATTTTTTTTTTCTTTGGTAGACAGGGTTTTGCCACATGGCCCAAACCGGTCTCAAACTCCTGGGCTCAAGAAACCCTCCTGCCTTGGCCTCCCAAAGTGCTAGGATTGCATGCATGAGCACCGTGCCCGCCCGGCAGGTTCTAGTAAAATTTTAAAAGCCACTGAATACCTTTGGGAGAGTCGTGGGGAAATAAAGCGTGGCGTTAAGGCAGCCAGGGTTGGCCAAGCGCATCCCGCCTGCGAGACTTGCATTGCTTGGCTGACAGCGGCTCTGACCACAGGAGACCACGTCACTGGGCCACAGGGCTCTCTTGAGAGCGGTGCTCAACCACAGACGGAAGGAGAGTTGGCTGTAAATGCCTCCGCTCCCTCCACCCTCAGGTAGAACAACAGGGGCACCTATTCTGTACATTCTGTGCCACCTCCCTGAGAAGGGACCCACTCCTGCTTGCCCACCTTGAACCTGCTCGCCGGCGCCCCCTGCAGGGTCCCTTCCCTTCCTGCCTCTTTACCCCCCAGGAGAGCTTCTAAAGTCACCTCTCAGACAATTACGCCCCTGAATTTAGTCTTAAGAGTCTCCATCACCAAGCCACCAATTTTTTTTTTTTTTTCGAAATGAAGTCCCCCTCTGTCTCCCAGGCTAGTGTGCAGTGATGTGATCTCACCTCACCGCAATCTCCACCTCCCAGGTTCAAGCGATTCTCCTGCCTCAGCCTCCTGAG